CTAACCTAACTAGACTAACACTAATATATGTTAACTGGTGTATGAGAATCCAAGATTAGTCCATTTAGCTACTATAAATGATTGTTGGTCATCGCAGTTTATAAGAAAGAGAACACAAATAATGGGTTGTACAGCTATATCGTCTAAAATCCTAGAGGGTCAATAACCCGATGAAAATAGAGCTCATCAAAACATGAACTAGGAAAAATCAAACAAGAATGCATTGTTCATATAATCACCACCACTCGCTAGCTTTTGGAATATACAAGCACATTCACTAACCCTTTACTAGGTGCTAGGTAAGGCGGGGAAATCAATTGACGAGACTGTGAAATTACATCGACTGAGATGGTTAGAACATGTGCCACGCATGCCTAGTCATCGCCTTTCTCGACAATGGGCAATGTTAGCTGATATAGAGTCTGGCTGGAAAAGAGCTAGCGACGATCAAACCAAAACATGGCTTCATCAGTCAATCAAATCCACAACAGTTCAAGCTAGCCACGTAGGAAGGTGTAGACTTCCTGACTGGTTGGGGTCCTCGGGACAGTAAACACCAATGGTTGGAAAAAATTAGTGACATGGCTCAAAATCGTCGTTCTCAATGGCTAACGCAGATGCATCCACTCCTTGTGACTTATGATTTCCAATGAAACTGTTTTGTTCTTCGTTATTACTATTCCTTTGTCTCACACCTCTGTTTACTGTCTCTATTATGCATTTCTCTTACTTTCTTCTCTTGCTTTGTGTGCTACAAGGAGGGAGTGTGGCGACTTGAACTGCCGCACATATGTGCAAAGTTCTATGTCGAAAACCGACCGACCGACCGTTGGTCACCCGGGTTTATAAGAAAGAGAACACAAATAATGGGTTGGACAGCTATGTCGTCTAAAATCCAAGAGGGTCAATAACCCGATGAAAATAGAGCTCATAAAAACATGAACTAGGAAAAATCAAAGGAGAATTCATTGTTCATACAGTCATCACCACTAGACAGCTTTTGGAATATGTAGGCATATTCACCAACCCTTTACTCATCTTTTTATCTCTGTACTCATCCACATTGAATACTGGTTATATTTCTTTGTCTAAAAGCGGGATTTCACTCTGTCGAGGAGCAAGAGGTGCTGGCATACATACTGTTCGACTGTAGGGAGATCGTTGAAGACATACATTATGCTAGTCAAGGCATTTTAATTGAACTCAAATAGTCACATAAGACCTGGAAAGTTCATGAGTGAAGCTAACCACTAAACCATACAAAAGTGTGTTGAGTGCGATATCTCTGAGAATAGTACTGAACCATGCCACCAATCATTTCAAGCCGTTAGATGGTAGCATTTTGAGAGTCTCAATCAGGCAGTCCACACCTTCATACATGGCTCAAACTAACTGTTAAGGGCTTCATAAGATGACTAGAGGTTTCGGCTTGACCACTTATGGCTCTTCTCCAACTTGATCCTATGTCAGCTGGCACTACCTGTCAAGGGAGGTGATAGCTTGGCATGTACAACACATATTCTAACCATCTCGATCGATTCACTCTTTATGAAGTATAATATCCAATAAAATGCTATTCTTCTTCCATATTACTATTCTTTTTCCCTCATTCACACTTCTGTTTATTATCTCTCGTTTGAATGTTTCTTTACTCTCTTATCTTGCTTTGTGTGTTGCATGGAGGGAGAGTGGCAACTCGAACTGCTGCACTTCGGTGCCAAGTTCTATGTTGAATCCAGCCAGCCAGCTAGAAGTGGGCTTAATGCACTAAACCTGATAATCTTTGCATCATTTTCAGATAGCATTAGGAATACGTAAGTGCGTCGGTGGCGGCACAGCGGTAGAGTGCTCGCCAACCACGCCTCATGTGGTCCAGGGTTCGATCCCCGGCCAGCCAACGACGCACTCCTTCACCTCACTAAGCCAGTAATAAGACTGGTAAAGAGGGAGGGTTGAGGGGAGCAGCACGAGGCTAGCAACCCCCCATCTTGTAAAAAATAATCACCACTGCTACCGATGCCCTATGTTCCACCAGGAACGTAAAGGAATAATAATAATGGAAAGAAATTAAGAATACGTAGTGGCGATGTGTGTAGTCCTAAATGAGATAACGAGGCGGTGTCTATCCAATATTCCTTCCTTCCTTTCATCACTAATTCTGGTTTCAATCTCTGTGATAAGAGAGTATCGATCAGTAGTGTACACATCAAATTCTAATACAATAGCCTACTAAGTGAAATAAATTTTTATTATATTTTTTGGTTTTCTGTTGTAAACTTTTTAGGCAGTATAATTTTGTTTGTTTTTGTACTCAACAACAATTAGTTATTGTATACATATTGAGGTATTTGTTGGTCTTTTTTCATTTAATTATATGATGAACTCGATATACTAATAATAATAATAATAATAATAGTAGTAGAAAGGTCATATACTACTAATAATAATATTTATTATTATTGTCATTATGATTATTATTTATTCAGTGAATATACAATGACAATGCTATTGATTTGTGAAAAAAATGTATCAATTAGTTATTTTTAGTATTCTGTTGTTTTTTTGTTGTTGTGTTTCTTGGTTTTTTCCTGACTGTTGAACTATTATGTTGCGTATAGTACTCATCTACCAGGCTGAGAATTGAAGTGGTTGGATGTGTGTGTGTGTGTGTGTGCTTAATGTACTTCGGCTATCTCCTACGGGAGGATGAGCCGGCTTCATGAACATCTCGAATCATCGCTGCCCAGGAGCGGCGACAGGGATATCCAATTCTTGTTCCACAGACGGAGTCCGTAGACGGTTTGTAGCCCCAGGCACTCCATATCAACCTTGACTGTACCAAGCCATGTTTTCAGCTGTCCACCCCTGTGACATCGCCAAGATGGTAATGGCGAGGGATTTAGAACTGATTTGACCAGATCGTCATCTGGTCGGCGCAGAACATGGCCAAACCACCGAAGGTTTGTAAGAGAGTTCATGAAGTTTCATGGGAATTTGGTACGAGTGATGTCCCCAGAATCGCTCGGCCTTTTGTTTGAGAGTGCAGCTCTAGCCTTTACACAACCAAGTGTGACCTACAAGGCAGTAGGAGTGGAGTAGGGAGTCCACTATCCATTGGCAGCCGGTGACCGGAGTTCGGTTCATACGCCTTTTTGAATGGGGCCAGACATCCAGGACATCCAACAAGCCCTTTGTCCATACGTCTGACGGTGAGCTCCAGTGAGCTTCATACGCCAGTCGTTGGAGGTTTGGAATCAGGGTTTAGCCATCTCCCCTAGACTGTCATCCAATGGACAGTCAACCCGGTGAAGAGCGCCGGGCATCCGTTTTCGCCCTCTCACTTCGGTGAAAAACACCTCCGCCACGTGAAGGCAGTGAGTAGGACTTCCTCAAGAGAGGCTATGTAAGACGCCCGGTCATATGGGAGGATTTCAAGAGGTGTGCGGGGGGGTGGCCAACCCGCAGCGCAAGGCACCCACCCCCGACCATCCTGAGGCTTTGGAGGCGTGCTTTGACTTACCAGTCATCAAGGCTGGTGACTGGTTGTTGTTGATGAAGTCTATATTCACAGGGATACAAAAGGTTTATATGGTATGTGTGTCCACCTAATTCCATCTCTTCGGCTATACCGATTAAAAGCTTATCTCTATAATGGAGTTATACTCTACCATTACACAGTGCCCAAGTTTTATACTTGTTACCAGCAGGGAATACTCCCGTTGACTTAGAATATGTAGATGATATAGTCCTCCCTCCTAGGTGAGGTGAAGACGCTAACAAAATGAAGCAGAGTCTTCTGAACACCTTGAGCTGAGCAGCAATCTTCGAATGTTTGGTATGCGATTCGCTCCCGCCAAATGTGAGATGATGTTACAGGACTGACTGAACTACACTGACTCCTAGTTTAGAAATAGAGAGTGAAGTAGTAGAGCACGTTGACCGCTTCACTTATTTGGGAGGTTGCATCAACCAGCGCCAACGGTTTGGTCGCTGACAAAATCTCAGGACGGATACATAAGGCTAGTTTCACATATGGCAGTTTACGCCATCTCTGGAGTAGACATGATATCCGGCTGGCTGTCGACTAAAGAGTGGATGCACTGCTCAGCAGTCCGCTCCGTCCTCCTTTATGGCTGGCTGTGAGTGAGACCTGGTCATTGAGAGTGGACGACATGAAAAGGCCAACTAGCTGTCTTTCATCATAGGTGCCTGTGTTCTATCTCCCGTGTTAGGTGGTGTGGTATAACAGGGTGAGCAATATTGAGGTTAGGCTTCGGTCGAATGCTAGTTGGTAAGGATGGAGGGGAAATCAATCGACGAGGCTGTGAAGTTACATCGACTGAGAGATGGTTAGGACATATGTTACGTATACCTAGTCATCGCCTGGATGAAATTGGTTCCCACTGCATTAGGGCTTTGACTGCCACTTTTGACATCATGATAGCCACTCACTGCCTCAATGTGTTCGTGGTTGTCGTCTTGATGACCAGACGGGAGTAGATTATTAACTCTCCCGTTGACAATGTTGTCAATCCACATCCATTCCATCTGCTTTCGCAGAGATACCCAATACTTCTAAGCCATATCTTCACATCTCTTTGGCTACCTACCTGGGCAGCCTTCCCAGCCAGCCTCGTACATTGTACGGACATTCCACGTCCCCATTCTTACTCTTGTTTTCATCCAGAGAGAGAAGACACATCGGCTGGCCGACTGGCTTTCACCAGCCCGCTGTGTCAGTGCCGAATCAGATTGTTGTTATTTGAAGTTTTTGTATTTTTAATGTGTTTTTTCTTTTGTGCGTTGAAGTTTCTCTAGCGGTTTGATAGATTTAGTGGTGTGGGGTTGCTAGCCCCACACCAAACCCCCTTCCCTCTTTACCTGGGCTTGGGACCGGCTAGAAAACTAACGAGCTAGTTAACTAGGCGGGGTTATTATTATTATGTAATTATTGCTATTATTAAAGATATTATTATGTTGTCATTATCTTTTTTTATTAGCATGGAAACAGAAATCAATTGTTCCAATAATACTAACAGCAATAATAATAATACCAATAATAATCAACATCAGCATTTTGGATTATTACTAAAAAAAGATTCCGTGAAAATACCCTCTCATGCAACACTGTCATCAAATGAAATAGATTTACCCATAATTGATAATTGTAATAATAATAATAATAGCAATAATAATACCAGTGATAATCGAAATAGCACATCAAGTGAATTAAAATTTATGGATGAAAGTACCTCATCATCGTCTTCATCAATATGCGGTGTTATCGATGGTCCAGCACCATCAGCACCGCCACCATCATCCTCTAGTGGAGGAGGTACAGGTACTGCTGGAGGCGGATTATCTGAATCTTCAGGTGATTTAACACTTGCTGGCAATAAATCGTCTTCTTCAACATTATCAAGTCGTGATCATCACCATCCTCAGCATTGTGTGGATAGTAATCTCCTATTGCATAATGGATTACCAAGTGTTGAATCTTCTTTATACCCTCAATCATTATTGAATAAGACAAATCCATTTTTTATTCCTTCGAAATCGAATAAACCTGTCAGTACTAGAAGTAGCAATAGTAGTGGAACGACGACGTCACCGACAACAGCAATAACCACAACAGCAGCAGCAGCGACATCAAATCCAACATTATCGAATACTTCACTGACAGATTCTAAGCAAACACGATTGAATAATAATAATAATAATGCCATCATCATGCCAAGTAGTTATAAATCACGTATCCCTGTGCCGATTTCAACTGAGACCGCCAGTTCAGCTGTAACACAGAAATTGACAATCAAATCACAGATTGGTGGTGGTGGTAATCAAGTCGTTAGGAATGTTGTATCACTACCGATGAATAAAGTGGCGGATAATGATGTAAGTCTACATACACTAAGTAGCGTTCTTTTTTGTTATTAGTGTTTTTATATTCAGATATAGCAATAAGAAGGAAGACGTAATTTGTCTGTCTGAATCGTGTGTGTAATGTGTATTTGCGCGCAACACACATTTCGAACATTTCATACAACCGGTTCCCTTTATTAGTTTGAAGAGAGAAAGAACGAACATGTTTGCCGGCAGGATAATACGAGCTCGTTTTATTTCATGGGTACTCATCAACTGCATACATCCTAAATAAAATCAAATTATAAGTTTCAAAAAAGTTTTGGAACATACTTTTTCATAATTACTTTGAGTTATAAATAGAAGGTATAAGGAACATAATTCCAGAATTTGATGTAGGTAGACAGATTATTCATTATTTATTATTATTATTTCCTTTAGTTCCTAGAGGAACATAGGGCTTCAGCCATGCGTCTCCATTGCGTTCGGTTCTCTGCTAGAGTTTTCACCTGGCTCCAAGTCTGCCCATACGCTTTCAATTCTTCTTCACATGATCTCCTCCAGGTCACCCTTGGACGACCAACTCGTCGCTTCCCTTTCGGGTTCCACTTGAGCAGTGGCTTGTCTAGTGATGTCACTTGCTGGTTTCCTCAGAGTGTGGCCAATCCATCTCCATTTCTTCCTGCCTATTTGTTTCACAATCGGTTCCTGGTTGGTTCGCTCATTGCCAGAGATCTCTGTTGCTGATCTTTTCTGGCCGGCCATCTGATCTTGAGTATTGAGCGAAGACAACCGTTAATGAAGGTCTGTAGTTTGTTTGAGATGCTCTTTATGACGCGCAGTGCAAGTCTCTGATCTGTATGATAAGCAGCACTGACTTCACATTGGAGTTGAAAATCCGGATCTTATTTTTGATGCAGAGTGCTGCTGACCTCCACACAGACTTGAGAGTAGTGAAAGCTTGTCTTGCTTTTCCGATTCTTGCTTTGATATCCAGCACACAGGTGTATTATGATTATTTCGAATTTATCACTACACTAAGTAGCGTTTTTCGTCATTAGTGTTTTTATATTCAGATAAAGCAATAAGAAGGAAGACGTAATTTGTCTTTCTGAATCGTGTGTGTAATGTGTATTTGCGCGCAACACACATTTCGAACATTTCATACAACCGGTTCCCTTTATTAGTTTGAAGAAAGAAAGAACGAACATGTTTGCAGGATAAAACGAGCTCGTTTTACTTCATGGATTCTCATCAACTGCATACATCCTAAATAAAATCAAATTATAAGTTTCAAAAAAGTTTTGGAACATACTTTTTCATAATTACTTTGAGTTATAGATAGAAGGTATAAGGAACATAATTCCAGAATTTGATGTAGGTAGACAGATTATTCGGTGTCGAAAAACAACTAATTATATACAGTGGAATTAGATAAGAGGGGTTAGAGTTCAGATTTCTATTGGAAAACAACACAGATTGGTTAGAGGCATATTACAGGGTCAGGGTCAGAGTGAATTTACACATCTTGTGGTGGAGAGTTTAAGAGGGTGGGGGTGAATAGTGAACAGACAAACAATAAGTAGATTTAGAAACTTGAAGGTCAAAATTGAGTCGAATGTTACGTAACAAGACAAACACACAGGCATACTGACAAAAAGGCAAAACAAAATAAAATAGAAATAGGGTTACCAGGGTAGTGAAAGATTAATCACACTATCTTTCTGTATACACAGAGGTCTGGTCGAAATCTCTTGATAGCAATGGCTTCTGCGAAGCGAAGTAGCCGTGGGTTTCTTTGTGTATTGATTATTTTGAAGGCTTGGTTAATTTCTACTGTGTGTCCTGTGTCAATTAAATGTCTGGCGATTGCACTCGATAACACTTTTCTTCCTTCTATCTTTAACTCCAAGTAATTATGAAAAAGTATGTTCCAAAACTTTTTTGAAACTTATAATTTGATTTTATTTAGGATGTATGCAGTTGATGAGAATCCATGACATAAAACGAGCTCGTATTATCCTGCAAACATGTTCGTTCTTTCTCTTTTCAAACATTTCGAACAATCTGATCCATCACACACGGACTTGTCATAGGAATATGTATATGCGAAAATAATAAAGAGTTAAGAAGTGAGAAAATAAACTACTTAGGTCAAGTTAAAAGGACGACATATTGAAGGGCAAAATAACAATGAAGACCACTACACCAAATAGCAGAGGTAATAGTACATCTACTCTGTCTGGTATCAAAACAAAGTTTACCAAGGAAGGCGGTTTAGTGTGATGACAAATTGCTACTTTGAGCGCATAAAGGTGGTTTAAACTTTCTAATTGCCAGTTAGGGCTTCCACAAACTTTAGGATACACCCTCTCTCGAAACACGTTTTATAGATAAGTTTAAAAGATCTGTTAACGTCAATTTTATGTCCTGTCTCTACAATATGTTTCGCAATAGAGGAGCTAGGCTTCCTGTTTTCACCATTAATGGGTTCTGAAGATTCCATTTGTTTCTGGAGCCATTTAGGAATATGCTCTGAAACCAGGCCTTACTTGCAGAGATCGATGAGTCCTCCCTATGTATATGTGTCCACACGTACATTCAAATTGCTTGATATAGTGGGATGTGACATCAACTTTTCGCATGTTCGAAAGGCTTAGATAGATATATTGGCTTTACGTTCTCAATTATAATGATATTAGCTGCATAAAAAGTCATTTTAACCATATCAGCGTTCAATCTCTGTCTACTTATCAAGCTGCTATGATCACTCACTCATATAGGTTAGCTTGATGTACACGTCTTTCCTAGCGGTGAGTTGAAGAATGGGTCTTGGTGTTCCACTGACTACTTTATATCATCTCCTGATGAACTTGTCTGGATAATTGTTATCAACCAGAGTTTATGTCACTCACTAAGACTGTTTTTTACCGAACAGGGCAGAAACTGTGATAATTAAGATACTGTCCTGTTCAGGTAGGTTTTCTATAAATAGATCGTTTTACTGACCCATCAAGCCGTCGACTAAGCAAAATGTCTAGGAAAGATAAACAATTATCTTCCTCTTCTACAGACAAATGTAAGTGATATACCTGCTATTCTGAACTTCATTCATTCGATTTCAAATTGAGGCGGCAGAACAAGACTTATCGCTGATGATTACAATATCATCTGCATACCTTCTATAAAGTGGCACATTTTCGATTAAATACTCCGATAAATTCTCAATGTACGACATATAAATATCTGCTAAAAGGGGCCCTAACGGACTTGCCATAGCAACACCATCAACTTGGCGGAAACGATCACCTTGAAATGTAAACCTAACATTGTTAGTACATAGAAGTAATAAATCCCTTATGTGATCATATTGTTCGAAAGGTGTGCTGCGCAAATACACATTACACACACGATTCAGACACAAATTACGTCTTCTTATTGCTTTATCTAAATTCATACAGGGAACTAATTGTTTTAAAGTTTTTATATTCATTCGAGAATTAATAATTGACTTGTGTTTATAGTAATAGTAATAATAATAACAATATTAATGATAGTGAGCGTATTGATAAACATTACCTGATACGCATGATCTATTCCCACGATGTATAGAGACTATAAATTTTAAGTTTTACTAGACCTTTCAATGTGTGTTTAGGATAAAATTAAGGTGTTCGTTCTACACTAGATAGATAGATAGATGTTTATTTTAAATATTTACACTCACAGCGTTGATGATGTTGTATTTTTTATTTTTAACAAACTGGATGATAACTGGTTTCGAGTATAAAAATGATTGCCAGTCACAGTCATCAATCAATTCATTCAAGTATTGGTTTGTAGGGATTTAGTTGATTGGTTACAGGATTTTATCATGCTGAGTTGACATCGGTTTAGAGAAACGTTGGAAAATTGGCAGGCAATACTGGACAGCTAGTTGTGTCGTGCTAGTTTGCGACTTTTCATCAGTACACACACGCCGACTATCAACCAAGGGACGTGTGTACTGCTCAGCAGTTCGCTCCGTCCTTCTCTATGGCTGTGAGACGTGGCCATTGAGAGCGGAAGACATGAAAAGATTGTCTGTTTTTGACCACAGATGTTTACGATCTCTTTCTCGAGGTTAGGTGGTATAATAAGGTAAGTAATGTTGACGTTAGGCGTAGAGTGTTGGGCAAAGAGGGAAAATCAATCGAAGAGGCTATAAAGTTACATAGATTGAGATGGCTAGGTCACGTGCGCCGCATGCCTAGCCATCGCCTCCCCCGACGGACGGGCATTACTAGCTGATATGGTGCAGGTTGGAAAAGAGTAAGTGGTGGCCAAACAAAAAAAAATGGCATCAATTCATGAAATCCTTGACAGTTAAACTGAGTCAGGTAGGGAGATGCAGACTTCCCGGGTTGGGGCCCACCCTCGGGACTCTAAGAATCAATGGCTGGAGACAGACAATAGGTGACATGGCTCAAAATCGTTGTCAATGGCTTACGCAGATGTATTCAGTCTCTGTAATCTTTCATATTCATGTATTTCTACCATTACTCATTCTGTTTCACTCTTATACTTGTCAAAACTCTATTGATTCTCTTCACTGATTTTTTTGTCTACTTTTGTGTGCTATTTGGAAGGTGGCAACTGGAACTGCTGCACTTGGGTGCCAAGTTCTATGTTGAATCCAGACGGAATTCTGGCGTCATTAAGAAATCTATGTAAAGCCTGTGACATTCCTCCTTTTATACGGCAGTGCTACAGAGGCTTTGAATTCTAAATTATTTTCGTTATTTTGGTCACTTTTATTGCTAGCTAGTCTTAGTTTTTCTATGGTTCTGCATACATTCATTGCCTGTAATCACAAAATAGGGTATGTGGGATAGGCTGAAAGTATTAACAAGTAATATAGTTAGGCGGAGAGGGAGACAGAGAGGTTAATCGCTGAATCTTTGTTTATCAATTTAACACCGCTCACGTGCAATTGGAATGACGTAATGCCCATCGCAGAGATATGGAAAATGTCAATAAACAATAAGGGGAAG